AAACACACACACTCACACGCGCACACGCGCACACGCGCACACACACACACACACCCATGTGTCAACACACGCAGGGGTGGCTGGCAGCAGCGGGGTGGGGGACGCTTTGGCGCCCGCGGCGGCTGGCAGCCGCGCGGTGGGGGTCGATTCAACGGGGGCCGCTTCGGTGGCGAGCAGCAGCAGGATGGAGCGGACGGCGGCGAGGGCGGTGAGGAGGGCGGCGGCGGCGACGCAGGCGGCGGCGAGGACGGACAAGGGGCAGCGGAGCAAGCAAACGGCGGGGACGAAACGCACACTCGTGAGGGGGACGGTGCTGGGGCTGGCGACATGGCCGACGGCCATGGTGGCGGTGGATTTGTTGCGCGCGGCGCGTGGCGGGGCGGCGGCCGCTTTGGGGATCGCGGCGGCGGTCGTTTCACCCGTGGCGGCGGCCGCTTTGATCGTGGCGGGCGTTTTGGTGGGCGCGGTGGGGGCCGCTTTGACCGCGGCGGCGGCCGTGGCGGCGGCCGGTTCGACCGCGGTGGTGGTCGCTTCGACCGCGGCGGCGGCCGCTTCGGGCGCGGTGGCGCGTACGGTGGCGGCCGCTGGCAGCCGCAGCAGCAGTCGTGGCAGCCGCCGCACACCGTCGGCGGCGCGCCTCACGCGGTGGCGGGGCGTCCCCAACGGCCGCGCGGGCCTGGTCTGCTGCAGAAGCTGCTGTCCACTGAGATCCGGCGCGAGCGCAGCTGGCTGCTGCAGGCCATCCGATTCTTCGTGGTGAACGGCTTCCTGCAGCAGCAAGAGGACGGGGGCGAGGCCAACGCTCCTGGTGGCGCAACGGCGGCCGCTGAGGGTGCGGAGAGCGCTGCAGCGAAGGCCGCAGACGGAGCCGGGGCGCAGCCCGTGGACGGGGGCGAAGCAGCTTCAGCAGCAGCAGCAGTGGCGGAGGCGGAGCCGGGCTCGGCGGCGGGCGACAGCGCAGGGGCAGAGGGAGAGCAGCAGCCCGGGCAGCAGCCCAAGCAGCAGCAGTCGCGGCCGGCGCCGCGGCGCGCCCTCATCTTCCCGGCCGAGGCGCTGGCGGCGCAGCAGGCCCAGAGCCTGGCGGAGCAGCTCATGGCGGCGGCGGCGGCGCAGGGGGTGGCCGACAGCGACGACGATCTGGATGATCTGGGTGAGGGGCCAGAGGGGCCGGGGGGCCCCGGCGGCGACGAGGGCGATGAGATGGAGCAGGAGGAGGATGATGATGATGAGGAGGCCCGTGAGGAGCAGCCGCAGGAGGGGGTCAGCGAGGACGATGAGATCGTGTTTGAGGGGGAGGAGGGGGGGGAGGAGGCTGGCGGAGGCGGCGGAGGGCCCGAGGGGCGGCAGGCTGTCAATGGCGCGCGGCATGATGGCGGGTCAGAACCAGAGGTCGGGGCTGACGACGGCGCAGGCGCCCTGGGCGGCCTCCTGGCAGACTATGGAGAGGACGAGGCCGGCGGCCGGCAGGGTTGACCCCTGCCTGCTGCCATCCTCCAGCCCCCCTGTGATGCTCCCCGCCATGCGGGCCGAGTGCGGCGTGGCATCTTGCTCTGCATTTTGTGGGTGGCCTGGCTCCGGACCGGTGGACTGTCGCCTGCCGCACCGCCAGTGGCACGTTCCGCCTTCAGCCTTGCCGGTTTCCTGCACCGTCGTCGCGGGCACTGCAGCATGACTAATCGTATTCCTGATGTAGGGTGCTGCTGCATCAGCCACTATAGCAGCTGTTGATGGCTCCTTCGTTACAATCGGCTACACTGGTGTTGTGGTGCAGGAACCATAACCTAGTTTTGTAAACAACACCTCACAAGTCGGTTCTCTCCGCCCCTTAGCGTTGTTGGGTTTTTGCCCAGTTCAACTGAGGCAGACACTCTGCCACTTGCAGCACTTTAGGCTGACAATCTACTTTGCAGCACTTCCGACACACACACAAAAACATTCAGTATTTTCGCAAGCAACGAACAACAGAAGCAGCTTTGCAGCGACAGCTGTCGTTGCGCGCTATGTGTCTATCAACACTTTGGCCCACTCTCCGTGCCTGTCACTCTGCCGCGACCCCCTGTCCGACCACTCTCGGGGCCAGGGACACCCCAGCCCTGCCGAGCCCGGGGGTGGCCCTGCGGCCCCCAAAAGCACCGGCCCTGCCTGCAGCCACCCCCTTGTGCGCGCCACCCGCCGCCGGGCCGGCGCTGCCCCGCCCCTCCAGCTCCCCCAAGCGGCCAAACAGCTGCAGGCCGCGGCGGTAGGTGCAGAGCGCGCCCTTGAAGTCCGTGACCGCCAGCCGCTCGTTGGTGCCGTGGGCGCGGTGGGCGTCCTGCACGGTCGCGCGGCGCGGCACGAAGCGCAGTGTCCCTCTCTGGTGGTTGATGGCCGCGTAGGCGGAGGAGTCGGTGCCGCCTGGCGATGAGGAGAGGGTCAGGGAGTGAGTCAGCATTTCTGGAGGGGGGCGTCAGATAACAGGTTGATGGGCGCGGAGAGGACGGCGGGATGCGCGTCGCAGGGGGTGGGTGGTGGGGCATTTGGGGAGGGGAGCGTCGCCAGTGAGGGCAGTTTGGTGGCTGGTGCAGACAGTGGCTGCGTGCTTCAACTGTTTTCAGGGCCCTGCTCAAGAGTGCGGGCTGGTCACCTTCCAGCAAGCGCGCTGGTGCCGCGCAGGAATGCGCTGCAACGTGACTCGTGGGGACGCGTTACACCATTAAAAATTCTCTCAAGCAGGAGTGCGACTGGATGTGAGCCAGTGCTGTAGTGCAAGGTATCTGCCGCAAACAGTACTGACTCTTGGAATAATCAATAGTACGATAAGTAGTCTTGCAAAAGCGGGCTTCACCCAATACGCAAGTCTTGTGGTGGATGCAGGCCGACACTCACCCGCCCCCAAGGGTCCACGCAGCAGGAAGAATCTGAATTGCTTGCAAATGTTGATAGCACCGGCAGCGCGGCCCCCAGCCAGGATCACCCCTTTACCAGACAGATGCACAAGTGAAAGACCGGCGATGCATATCCCTGAGACCCATCAGCGACCGACCCAAACTCTGCTGGGCGCCGCGTCACAGCTCTGGCTGAGCCTCCGCGCCCTTGCTGCGCCCTGCGCCCTGCCCCGCGCCCCCCAGTTCCCCCAGCAGCTGCAGCACGCGGCGTGTGGTGCAGAGCTGGCCCCGGTAGTAATCCACCGAGGTGCGCTCGTCTGTGCTGTGGATGCGGGTCACGTCTGTCGCCGCGGACTGGCCCAAGGGCATGAAGCGCATGCAGCCGTGAACCGTCAGGGACCCGTAGTGGCGGCTGTCAGTGACGCCTGCGGCGGCGCCCGCAGCGGCAGGGCGGACGGGCATTGACCACTGCACGGCAATGCAGAAGGAGCCCCCCTTCCAGGATTGCATACAATGTGCCAGTAAGGAGGATGCGGGCCAGGGAGGTCGGCTTGCATGCGACCCGTGGGGACACCGCGAGCCGCAATGACGGCGCCGCGCCAGCTCCGCTGCTGGGGGCTCTGCCCCGCCCATCACGGCCTCTCAAGGCGCCGCGTGGCGCGCCACCGACATCCCAGGCTCTGGTGTCAAGCTCACAGGACACGATCATACCGCGCCCTGTTGCCCGCTCAAGGGCTGCCGCACACGCTTTTCTTGTCCGCCATAGTAACCCCTTCACCCCTGCCCCCTCACAGAAAAGAGAAGCCATTGCAGCAGCTGTCCCCACCGCTGCACTGCTCACCTGGCAGCAGGACGGGCAGCACCGCCACAGGCTCCTCATCAACGTGCCAGAACTCCTGGATGGCCTGAGAGGGGCAAGGGGGGGGGCGAGAGGGGGTCAGAGGCGGGAGAGCAAGCCGGCGGTCAGGTGCGCTCGTCCGCACTGTCTCCACGCGTGAGGCCCCCCTTCCCTGCGCACTGCCCCCCTAGATAACCACCACAGCCAGACTGCTCCGCCACAGCGCACACAAGTGCTTCAATTGTGCGCTCATCCATGCGGCAGCTGCAAGCTGCCCCATCAGCTCAGCTTGTACAGCTTTCTCCCGCAGCAGTGCCGCTGGCTCTCCTGCGGCAGGCGAGGCCGCACCTGCTTCAGCAGTTTGTAGTGCGGCCCGTCAACGGGAGTCACGGGTGATGGCGGCTGGCTGGTGCCGGGGGGCCCCAGCTCCAGGGTGACACGGGCCATGTCCCTGCGGTACGGTGGTGGGGAGAGGGGTGGCTGGTCATGAGGGGTCGGGGTTCATGTGTCAGGAGGGGGGGGAGCAGAGGGGGCAGGAAAGGGAACAGTAGTCACTATATTGTGAGCGTATATGTGTTGGTGGTGGCAGCTTGCGGGCACTGTGCAGGACACATGTCTCTCGACAGCAGCAGGGACGCCCACTGTGCGGCCCCCTCACAACACACGGCATATTGGCGCCAGGCCTGCACAATGCCTGGACGAGTCACCCTGCTGCCTGGAATCGCGACCATGTGGCCCCTCCCCCGGCCACCACACCTGCAGCTCACTGCAGCACCCCTGCCTGCAACACCCCTGCAGCCTTGCGGCCCCTGGCTGACACCCCTCCATATCAAGGCTGCTCACTTGGGCCCAATGACTGAGGTGAGGTATGTCAGCACGTCCTGGGGGGTGTCACCGGGCAGCAGCCGCGTGTTGATGTTGATGGTGCCCTGCTGGGGCAGCACGTTGTCCGCAACACCCGCAGTCACACCCGTCACAGCAGCCGTGGTGCGCGTCTGGGGTGGGGGCAGGGTGGCGCGTGCGAAACGCAGAGGCGTGGCGAGGTGGGTGGGCTGGTGGATCGCTGCATGCTGCCGCAGCAGCCGTGGCCTTGCAGCTGGCAGCGGGGCGGGTGCAAGAGGGAGGGCTCGCAGCTCCCTCTGCGCCGCCGATTCCCCGCCATGCATGACAAGTGCCCTTTCCGCCCGCATTCGGGCGGCCCGCTCCGAGCACCCGCCCACCAGCGCCGCGCCCTGCGCGCCGGACGAGGCCATGAAGCGCGCCACCACCGTGTCAGCGCCCGGGAGCACGCCGATGGTCGACAGCAGTGCCGCCAGCCAGGCTGGTGGGCGCGAGGGGGGAGGGGGTGCAGGATGGTGGGGGAGGTCAAGGGCCCGAAGGCGCGTGTGAGCCGCGCAATGGGGGTGATATTTGGAGGGTCCAGGTGCGCGCATGAGCCACGGCCTACTGGTGGCACCCTCCCTTGGCACCTGGCTTGGCGGCCACGCTTGTCGCATCAAGTGGACAGCGGCCTGGGTGGATGCCTGTTGCCGGCAAACAGGCTGCTGCACAAAATGCACAGGCCCATTTGGCACGGCTGTGAGGAGGGCACCCTGTCCCCACGTGCACGCTCCCGCAGCCCCCCACCTGGTGCGTACTCTGCCGCCCCGCGCAGCATGTCGGTCACTGGGGCGACCAGCTTGGGGGCCGGGGGCGACGTGGACAGGCGGCCCAGCACGCGGCCCATCACGTCCCCCACACCAGACCCGTCGGTGGGGGGCAGGGAGGAGTGGCCGCCAGCGGAGGTGATGTGGACCTGGATAGCGCGGGGAGGGGGTGTCGCGGAGGAGGGGGGGAGGAGGGCGTGTCAGAGAGGTTGCTGGTGTGCATGGCGTGGTGACTGTGCGGAGGAGCGAGTGCTAGCAGTCGCTATCATTCACAGGTTGACGGGGCTGCTGAGCCGCGCTGCAAAGAGGAGGGGACAGCGCTGCTGGTGCGCCTTTGTCCGCTGCGGTCCCGGGCAGCTGGCAGCCGCGCCTTGTCCCCCCCCCCCCGCTCCCTGGTGCCGACCTTGACGCTCTGGTAGCCCTTCTCAGCTGTGCCCACGAGCGCAAGAGGACGGCTGTCCGGCGGGGTGACAGGGGGGGTGCGGTGCGTGGGCGGGAAGTGGCAAGATGAAGTCAGGGGGGTGCTTGGGTAGAGGCGACCAGCATCGACCAATCTGCGAGCAGCAGCTGCAACTCACTACGGCAGTCGTTGAGACGCCAGGCTGAACCTTTTGGATGTGAACCAGCTCCCGGCCTAGCCCCAGCCCACGCCCAGGCCCAGGCC